CTGAGCCAGTGTTCCTGTGCTTGTGCAGCCCGTCATGGGCGCAGGAGGCCTGCTGGGCCCCCTCAGGAGGACACTGGCTCACGCGGTCCTGCAAGAGGCCCAGGGTGGGAAGACCGAGACCAGGGCATGGGGGGAGGGAAGACTCACATCTAGAGGAAGGGGAGCCGCCGCCTGGCCGCCCTGCCCTCCCCCTCAATGTGCCGCATTTCACTGAAATTTAATTAGAATGTAATGTGAGCAAGAGCAAACGAGGGCTCTTAATTGAAATTACATTTCCAGCTCCATCAAGGCTCACAGCCCCGAAGCTACCAAAGCAACTATAGACACGGCCTGCAGAGCGGGCCCCCGAGTGCCCCTTCACCCCTGCTGCGGGGCCAGCAGGCAGAGGCGGGGACACCGCTCTCCAGGGGACGCCTTCGCGGAGACCCTCTGCGTTTTCTGCTCCTCAGAGGCCCCTGCCTCGCACCAGACCCCAGGAGCAGGAGGAAACGCACGCCTGGGAGCCCTCCCCGCTTATTCTCCTCCTCTCGGGTGTGAGTCTTCCCTCCCCCCCTCCCCTGCCCCCAACGCCATGGTTCTTATTTTTTACCCATTTCATAGGTGAGAAAACAGGCTCAGAAGCTAGACGGCTCGCCTGCCTTCGCCACCAAGCCAGCCAGAGAGGACTGGGCCTTGCACGCAGGAGCCGCTCCCCTCCAAGCAGGTGCGTCCTTTCTCTCCATGGCTCTGACGCCACCCGCACCTGGTGCCGGGGGAACGGCGTCCTTTCATGGAGTCCCAGGAAAGCGTTCCAGGGCCCACGTGTGCAGGCTGAGGCCTGGTGGTGGCAAACACAGAGGCTGTCTCCGGTTCAGCTCCGGGCGCTCACCTCCATCCGGCCCCCGGGGAAGAAGCCAGCCTGGTCTCCACCAGGCCCAGCACAAAGCGTGGTCCGTGCGAGGCTTAGCCCTGCCTGTCCCACCCGCTGGCTGAGTCTGCTCCTGGCTGTGCTCCAGCCGACGCTGGCCAGGCCCTCACTGGGAGCCCAGGTCCGCAGGGGGCCCGGGCTGCGAGGGCCACATGGCTGCTCTGGGGAGACAGCTGGTGAGCAAACGGGGCCAGCATGTGCTACCAACCAGCCAGAGAGAGCATCTTTGTTAGGCTGGGTGTGAGGACCCGGACCAGAGTACACCGAGTGTTAAAGGCCCACGTGCCACACGCATGTGCAAAGGCAATGACCCAGCAGTTTTACTGCACGCGCTGTGCACACGTACCTTTCTATAACCCAGTAGTGATGTCACTATTTGGGAAGAGGCCTGTTTGGTCTGAGTTGGTATGAAAATGTGTTGCTGACAGCCGGTGAGTGGCTGCTCTGTGGGCTACTTTGAAGAACTGTTTTGTCTGATGGCTCCTGTGTTAGCAATGGCTACTTTGTCTTCAATAAAGTCTCTCCTATATGTCTGCGGCT